AAAGTGCAAAAAAAAAAAAAAAGGAAAATTCATGAGGCTTGAAACGAGAAGTGAGAAGCAAAGTGTATGCTTTTTGAATTAGTGAAGCACATAATTTATGGAGAATTAAATATATATGATTTTAATACTATAAATAATCAATTCGCACTAAGAATAACCTAATTCGACATCTAATTTATAATAATGACGACGTTAGTCCAACTCCTCCTCAAATTTGAGATCATTCGGAGAACTGACTCTTTCTTATTCGGGATCAGTGTGTGTCATTATTTGCAAGACACATTTCTTTGAAGCATGTGGCTTCACCTATAAAGTGATAACCCCTCGCTTCACATTTCTTCATCGTTTTAAGCAACAAAGCAATATATGACTTTTAACAACATTGATTATATAACATACTGTTAAAAAAGAAAAAAGAAAGAAGAATTTAGTTTTAAAAGCTTTTATGAGTACTATAGAAGGATAAATTACCAGAAGAGTTAGAGTCTTGAACTCCAACACATATGTCTTGTAGAGGGTTGAGATCATAGGCATAAACTAATTGGGAAGAAAAGAAAGCAGCAATGGCTAAAGTTGCTATTAACCAGCTCATGCCCATTGTTAAAGCAAAGTCTAGTTTTGGAAATAAGTTTGTTTGGTTTGGGCTTGTTATACTTTTTCTCTTTTTTTCCAAACAACCAAAGAGGGGTCTACTACTTATAGTTCGACCTGGTCAATCCTATTGCCATCTTGCTTCCATTTGTCAAAAAGGAATATCCAGGTAATTTTCTCATTTTAAAATGCATATATTGCAGGCTCAAATTCAAGAAGTAACTATTAATCAAGAATCTTGTGATCTGTTAGTCAACTTCACATCACTCAACATGGTAAATTTACATATTCATTTAGAGTTTAAGTTATACACAGTTTCTACACTATTAGGTCACTTAAAGTATATTCAGAGCTAAACTTCCTTAAAGTGTGGAGCTCTCGTGATCTTGAGAATAAGACAAATTGTTTGCTACAATAAATCAAGATGATCTAATAGTATAAAAAGTTCTTACAGTAATTGTGTATATAACTTAAACTCATTCAAAAAAGTGGGTTAATGACATAAATGTCTTATAACAAACAATCAAATGTTAGTCCATTGGTACATTTCGTGGAAATGTTTGGATTTTGAATTCATAAAAGAAGAATTAACCTAAATAGTTGTTCATCCAACTGCTTAAATTAAAATTAGCTGGTGAATAATATATGTATAATTCATATATAGTATAAATGTAACCATATATAATTAGTGTATTACCTATGTATACCAGCTAGATAAAGTAATTAAACAGTAAATCTAACCAGCTATTTGTGCAAAAAAAAAAAATTGGTAAAATGAGAAAAGTTCATAATTCAATTGTTAATCCAACATATTGTCCTAATCTCTAATAATAAAATTATATCTTCGCCGGCAAATGAATGTTCCCATCTACGTATGAATCAAATGTGGAACTCCTTCAACGATATCAAAATTATTGAAGAATTTTATGCACTATAACAGAAAAACTACACAACTATTTTTGGTCATACTAAAATAACTGAATTCTTACACACTAAGAGCAGTGAAGTCACAAATTTATTCATGTGTGATCATTGAAACTTTATGCACTATAATGATAAATTTATAAAACTATTTTTCATCACACTAAAGTAATTGAATTTTACACATTATAGTATTAAATCACAAAATATTATACCGTAAAAGTATTCACCGAAATTTACGCAATATAGCAATACAATCACAATATAACAGTACAATCACCTTCATGTCATCATGTGTAGGTTGTCGTTATAGTATATAGGAAAACTTCAGTAATTTTATTGTTATTATTGTGGGTAAAAGACAATAATGTTACAATTATAGTGGGTAAATTTATGATAGACAACATAGAACATTAATATTCATCATCTTTAACCCATTTTAATTCGCATCAAACTGAAAAAGATTTACTCGAACTCGGTATTTACATCTAAGTGATTAAGTAATTTAAGTACTTTAACAGTTAAAAATTACAGTGAAAATGTATATCACTCTCTTTGATATTCACTAATCATAAGTTTATTAATTAGTGCTCTATTCATAATGAATCCTCCCAGTTGTATCTGCTAATCTGCGATAGTAATTTGTTACTACTACCAGTTATTAGCTAATGGAAATGAGTACCTTTTTTTGTGCATTTTGGATCTATTCAAGTAAAAAACTACTAGAAACTATGAGCACGCGATTTTTGCCCGACAAAAAATACTCCTACAAAATTCACAAAAATAGATTTGTTTTAATTATTTTAATTTTTATAGAATTTTAGAAATTTCTTGTTAATTGTCGTCTGCATTTAGTTGCACATTTAATATTTTAAAATTATAAGAAAATACTAAAAAATATTTAATTCTTCATTGTATAGCATTTTAGATCTTAATTGTATTTAGAATCTAATTACATAAATTAATTATATTATTAAACAAAAATCACAAAAATACTATAGGCTCTTATATTTTTAGCTTTTAGTTTTAAATTATTTATTTTCTTTCATTAGTCTTAGGTTAATTAATTATTTAAATATTAAAAAAAGTGAGTAGGTTAATTTTGCAAATTAGAGTTAAGTTAGAATTGAATTAGGACTTTTAATCAAATTTGTAGAATTTAAAATGAAAGAAAACAAGGAAAAGAAGAGGTTTTGTTGGGTCTTCTGCAAAATGGGCCAAAAGCAATGGCCCAATGCTGTCCAAAATCCACCCCCAGCCTAGACCCTTACAGGAAACAAAAAATAAAACGGTCCACCCCTTCAATGACCCAAAACGACCCTGTTTTACCCGTCCTAATCCCAGCCCTTCATCAAACTTGATCCAACGGCTGGAAACTGAAATCTCAAGCCCCTTAAATCTGTCGGAACCCCCTAACCCTAGAGACATCCTCACAGTTCCCCCCTTTCACTCTCTGCTTCGCCGCCTTACGGCGGCGGCACCACTCTAAACCTCCCCAAATTTTTACCCTGTAACCCTCATCTTTTCCTCATCTCATATCTCTTTTTAGATTCCTTCAAAACACCTCAGATTTCCCCAATTTTCAGATCTAAAAACCCCAGAAAAATCCTATTCGTTCTTTGTTGATTATCTATGAAGGTCGGGCCATTTTAGGTTTAAACTGGCCTCAATCAGTCACTCTCAATGAGAGCTATTGATTGATGGTGATTTTATTCCGTCTCCTTCATTGTCCGAATTTCATCAAACTCAAATCACCACCCAGTTTTCTTCCTAAAATTTCGTCTCTTTTAAAAATTCGGCTCGCAATTAGCATTGCTAGTTTAGCAATTCCTCTTGTACGCTGGAATTCGGGCATGTTTGCTTTACTGCAGTCAGTGTTTGTTCGAGTTCAACCCAAATAGGTATAAGTCATTCCTCTCTTTCTTCGTTTGTCCTTTTACTATTTTTCAGTCCTTTTGGTTCTTTGTGAATGTTCGATTTGGTTTAGTCTAAATGTTTAGAGTCATTTTCTGCTTGAATTGATTAGTTTAAATTGCATATTATTTTAATTAGCATGCTTTAGTCAAGGATTGACTCAGTGAATTTACGTTTAGTTTTGTGTTGGTTTATTTGCTGTTAATTTGGTTTAGTTAATTATTGCGTGTTAATTGTTTATTTTTTGTTAAAGTAAAAATAAAGAGCAGTAATTTTGGAATGAATATTGTAAATAAAAAGAAATTAGTAAGCAAAAGAAGACATTAGCTAGGATTTGAGGGGGGCTAAAGGAAATAGAATTATAAGAGAATCATTCTGTTAGGTGGTTGAGATGTTTCTAGAACAGTGCAGTAGGGATTAAAATGCAAAAGAACAAAGGAATTAGGTTAAATTTGGGGGTAAAAAGGGATAAATTCAGAAGATACGAGGGCTGAAATAATATCTGAATGGACAGTTGTCCAACAGCTGTCCAATTCAGTTTTAAAAGATGTATTTTCTCCTTATTTTTAGGACTGCATTCCCTAGAATTATTCCCTCACATTTGCCTATATAAGAAACCTCACACTCCCTCACACACAGGCATTATTTTCTGCATATTCACTCACTCAAAAGAACACTAATAGAAGCTGAAATTTGAAAGAAAAGTTCTTAGTATTCAACTTCAAAAAATCAACAAAAAAAAGGGAAGGAGATACAAAGCTGTTTTCGAATTCTAGCATGTTTGATTGATATTTTCTGGGATCTCAAAAGACTTTCATGCTATTAGGATTGTTGTTTTTGCTGGGTTGGAATCTGCTACCTCTGCTTGCCGAACTTGACATCATCTCTTCTTCGTTTTTCTTCCTTAACTGATTCATCTCAAAGCCTTTATTTGGTTGTGTTAGATTGTTGCTGCCTTTAGGTATGTAGACTTGTATTCTACTTTGATTTGTATTTAAGTATGGGCTGTTTTATCTGAAGTTATCTGCTGCATTTGTTTAAATTTATTGTTTGTTCGGTTTTTGCACATGAATTGAATGGTTAACTTTAATATAGTAACTACATGAAGGTTTTGTTATTTTCCCTATGAGAAGCATGTTGATTTCAGAGATTTAATGATTAAAAGATGCTAGAAATCCGTTTGTTTCAATTAGAATTCAGTTTATGTGTTGTATTAAGAGTTATATACTGCTCAATTTGGGATTGGACTGTTGAAATCTGAGTCTCTTTCTTTTTGTACTAATAAGATGTGCAAGTTTGGATTCGTGTGATCAAAGATGGTCTATCACTGTTGAAAAGTTTTATGCCTAGATTACCTTTGTTTGAATTAATAGTGAATAGTATTTCAATACTACTGTTTTAGACATGACCCAAATTCTTTTATGTATTAAGTATATGATTGAAACAATATTATTTTTTCATTTGAGTGTTGGCTCACGAAATTAATGGTGTAATTTTGATTTGATGTTGGCATGTGGAGGTTGTCATTGGATTTGATTACCAGTTGATCAAATCCATTGTTGAATAGATTTCGAGTCTAAATCGGACAGTAACAAAGAGAACAAATGCTTATTATAATTGTAATTTAATTAAAAGGCCATTTAGTTGTAATTTGGATTTCTCTTTGTATGAACAGTTTCTCTTTAATTCCTGAGTATTTGTTTCTTTTATATATGTTTCAATTCAGTATTATGAGTGTTTAAACAAACGCTTCGTTCCATCTTTAATAATCAGAAACCAAAGGAGACTAGGCATCTGAACGTGCACAGTCTCAGTAAAAGACCAAATTGAGTCAATTTGGGCCATAGCCCAACATGTTATCCTAATTTAAAGAGTCCAATGGACTCTGAATTTGTTGGTTCCCTAATTGTTGGCATGCCTTCAATAACCTGTCATCTTTAATACCTGCTAACAACGAATTGGTTAGTCATTTTGCAATTTGGTCGCAAATAAATACCTCTTTTGAGTGTTCTTGCACCAATTCAATCTTAGTAAATTAATTATGAGCATCTTTAGACTTTCACTATCGAATCTTATACTCATTCCACAATAAATTATTTTCATAATCCTTGCCTTTTCATGATCATCTCAAATTAGTTTAAATAATTTCAAACATCGGAGTTTGCTTTAGGCGTGCAATTAAATTATC